GACGCGTTTCAGAAAGGCGGGGCATAGAGGAGAAACAATAATGTACAGTATGTGGAAAATAATGTGTTTTTTGAACCTTAAACCACATAAACACATTTCATTACACCAAATACACAAAATAATGTTCTTTTTAGCAACATCATATGACCCCTTTAACATAGGTCTCTATTCGTTCATTCATGGCTGTGTGTTGTCTTCAGACCTGTATGTTTTTGTGTGTGTGTATGTTTTTACAGGAATGCTTGGTCAGTGTTTCGACTCTGTTGGTAAATGGAGCAAAACACCGCAAGCAAACAGCTCAGTACACTTGCCTTTCATTCAAACGCATTGAAAAACACACTCCAAACAGAAAAATGGCCCTGGATAGAGCTTAGAGCTCTCTCTGGTGGCAGACCTTATTAACATCTGTTTTTTTTTTCTAGTTGCTTCGTAAATTATGTATTGAAATTACTAAATTATTCCATATCTGTAGTGTGTTATCCTCTGATTAGAAGGCAGACGAGATTGTGATGATAACAGCAGAGACAACAACTAGATTTGCATTTTCTAAAGGAAATGTCAGTGCTTTCAAGGCAGCAAACGAATAGTGTTGGAGTTTTAAGCTTGGATATGTGTTAAGAAATACTGCATCAGAGCCGTTTGATGTCATCATGGCAATCAGCACACATCTGATTTTCTGCCAGCTATGCATAAAAATAAACAAGCAATGCAACACTGTTGTGATTATATAGGCACGACAGGAAAGACTAATCTGAATTCCATATGCAAATAGATGTTAGAGAGAAAAATGTTATGTTATCAGTGTCACAGTTACATTTTAAATTCTTAGATTTCTTAAAACATAGACAGCATAGATAGCAGACCTAAGGCTCAAATCATATACACAAAAATGACAGTATTTCAAATAAATTTTTAACCTTATATTCAGCAATGAATCCTGAAAAAAGTTTATCAGTTTCCACAAAAATATTAGGCAGCACAAATGATGATAATAAAAAATGTTTCTTAAGCACCAAATCAGCATATTAGAATGATTTATGAAGGATCATGTGACACTGAAGACTGGAAAAATGGCTGCTAAAAATCACCACAAGAATACATTTTAGTATATATTAAAATGGAAACAGTGATGCTTAAATTAAGAAAATATTTAATAATAATGTTTTTACTGTATTTTTGATCAAATAAATGCAGCCTTGGTGAGCATTGTGAATATAACTATGTACATAACAGTTTGGGCTGAAATGATTGCAAGATTTTATGAACAAAAAGAAGAAGAACAACAACAAATACAATGTTTGAGGAATCTCAAAGGAATATTACTGTCTTGCAAGCACTGTGATATCTAGAAAAGGAAAGTTTGACAAGACAAACTTCGAAAGATGGCTTGACAAAGCTTTGCCTGAAAGTAAAAAAAAAAAAAGCTTATAAAAGTCTTGAAATTTGATGCTTATACAATGTTAAGCATTTATACTGCAATAAGAATTTGGGATTCAGAAAGTTTCAATGGAAGTATATGCCATTTTTCAGTGTCTTAAATGAAAAAATATAACTCTGATCAGTTAGAACAGATCAGACAGATACTGATTTGAATGACAGAATGACTGATTTGAGTCATTCAAAAAAGAAAAAAACTAACTCAGGTTTGTAGAATAACAGTATGTTGGTTCCGCTAGGCTATGCAGTTGATAAAATGTTCTGAATGGTTGCTAGTTTGTTTCTGTGTGTTTGTTAGCTTAATGTAAGTGGTTGCTAGTGTGTTCTAATGTGTACATACAGATCTGCTCCTGATCCAGGATCTTGTCATCTCAAGACTGGACTGCAATGCTGTATTGGCCAGCCTTCAAACTAGCTCAATTAAACCTGGCACAAGAATGCCAGTGTATTTGGTCTTTAACCGACCAGTGACGGCCCACGTTTCACCCCTCTCAGTCTTGCTCCACTGACATCCTAATCAAATTCAAATTCAAATCTCTTTTTTCTACTTCTGCAGTCGCACTTCTGCTCTAGCTTTTGTTTACTCTTGAAATTCAGTATTGCAGCGCTGCTAATGTCGCTGGCTCCTGTATGATAAATAGCTTGTGTTTTGCCTTATTTGAAAGTCGCTTTGGATAAATGTAAATGTAATTGGTTTAAAGGTCTCAAACTGTGAATGTCTGAACATTAACATTCCATAAACGTAATTTGTGTTTATTATTATGTCAACAATACATCAAACCCAGTATCAGTTAAATTTCTGTGACTTGATGTCATTTACAGTATGCGTATATGGTGCTGTTTTACAGACTCGTGGTCTCAGTATCTCTTTGATCAGATGCTCCACATGTACTTCACATCCTGGTGAGAGACAGACACTATTTCTGGTTTGTTTGGGGGCCCGGAGCAAGATCTTCCCTGGTGCTGGGTCTTATTCGTTGCTAGTCTAAAGACATGCCTAATTAACGTCAAACAACCGACAAACATCACAACATTAAGGCTGAACTACCACGTCAACCGCAACTAAAGAAAGAAAAGAAGCAGCACTTCAAACCACTGAGGATAAACATGTTCATACACTGAAATAAACACACTGTTGTTAGGGATTGTAGTTTGTATTTTTAATGCAATTTTTTATTGATTTTTTTTTTCACAGAAAATAGCTTGAGATCAAACAATAATTGCCTGATCCCTTAGGGTCTGCAGACCCCCCGCTGAAGACCCTTGCTTTAGAAGTATAGATCTCACTGATCTTGATACTTTGAGAGTGATTAAAAGTAATCTTTAAAGGGGTCATATGATGCGATTTCAAGTTTTCCTTTCTCTTTGGAGTGTTACAAGCTCTTGGTGCATAAAGAAGATCTGTAAAGTTGCAAAGACTAAAGTCTCAAATCCAAAGAGATATTCTTTATAAAAGTTAAGAGTCAGCCACGCCTACCTAAAATGGCTCGTTCTAACACGCCCCCACATACCTACGTCACGATGTGGGAAGATTTGCATAACACAGCCCAAATGTTCACGCAAATGAAGCTGGCGATTATGGTAAGGGGTGTTACATTTCCGATGAGTGCTTGCGGTGTTTGGCCAATCACAATGCACTGGGTCAGTTGGCCAATCAGAGCAGACTGCGCTTGTCAAAGGAGGGGGCTTTGTAGAAAACGAAGCGTTTGAGAGAGGCGGGGCATAGAGGACCTACAATAATGTACAGTATTTGAAAAATAATGTGTTTTTTGAACATTAAAGCATGTCAACATATTCTCTTACACCAAATACACAAAATAATGATCTTTAAAATAACATCATATGACCCCTTTAAGAAATTCAATTCAGAGTAAAGGGGAATAACAATTTTTATGTGCTATATAGAGGAAATGGTGTACTGTACATTAATCATTTGTACACCATATAAATACTTTAAAACAGGGCACTTCAACTTTTTTCAAAGAATCACAAGAATCTCAGAATTCTGTTTTTTTTCTGACTCATAAAATGGATTTTATATCTCAGTTCTGACTTTCTTTCTCTTTCCAAGTTTGCTTGCAATTCTGACTTTTTTTTATTACCTTTTTTACTTTTTATTTCAAGGCAAGAACAGGCTTCCATATTTAGTGGATAGATAGAGAAAGCAGGAACCTACTGTTACATATTGTATTTAAGTGAGTGTCGCATTTTAATACTGGCTCATAATAATATATTTTAATGCATTCTTTTTTCACAAAAATCTGTGTGCAGTCAAACAATAATTGGCATGCTCCGAGGGTTCACAGACCTCCTGTTGAAGACCCTTGCTTTTAGAAGAATAGATCTAACTGAATTTAATGCTTTATTAAGGGTGTTTCAAAGAAATCTTAAAGAAATACAATTCAAAGAACTGAGAACAAATTGCATTTTACACATTTTTGTATTGTCAAGAAATAGCTCCCTGATTATGATTCTGCTTTTCAAGCACACTGGTGAGTCTCATTAAACTACAAAACACCATTGTGAGCTTGTCAGCTGCCATTTATTACAGTGAGACCCCCTAGTGGCCAGTGCAGGGAAAGTACCTCTGGCTTCACAAACACAGTTTGGGCCCAACATATTCTTACAGAGGGCAGCAAGCCCTGGGCAGAGGAATTATTGGGTCAAAAAAGAAGGAAGTTTGGTATCAATGTGTAATCACAAACCTCCTTTACCCCTGCAGGAAGCATGCTGAACCTGACATGCCGAGCCTTCTTTGGGTACAGTGGGGACATCAGTTCGCTTGTTTACTGGATGAAAGGAGAGAAGTTCATTGAGGACATGGACCAGAGTCGCATTCGAGAGAGTGAAATCAAGTAAGAAGGAACACAGTGGAGGCGAGAGTAAACATGTTGTGACACAAGCTCAAAACAACCCCCTCCCCAAACAATCTTTAAAAAATAGCCCATGTTCTGAATTAAGGATATCATACTGAAAAACATATGCAAACATTAGTATTGCATGCAAATTACACAGCAGATGTATAATAACAGCTTAGACCATCATGGATGGATGGATGGACAGATGGATTTATTTATTTCCTTTTTTATTTACATACATATTTTATATTTTATCATATAATAAAATATTTAAAAG